CCAGCTTTGTGTTAACAAGCGAAGCCACAGCGTAGCAGACACCAGAGATGAGGAGTAACAGGAGGCAACACTCTTCTGTCATGCAGGTGGATAATACACCATCTTGATGGAATTGATTTGCATCGAGAAAAGGGAAGACTGCACCTCGACTTAACTCATAAAATCTGGTGGAATGTTTTGCTGTGCTTCGGAGCACACTGTGTTTTCTCATAGGATTGGATTCAAGAAGTGCATGATCCATGAGAAATCTTACGAGTTAAAGTTATTTTGAATGAACTTCCAATGTGAAGAAAATGGTCAACTTTGTGTTTTAAGGGAGGGGAATTGTGAGCCTCATCAGTCTGACAAAGGCCTCTTTATATGCATCAAATACTCTGTCTGTCTTTGTGCATTCCCACGATGTGTTTCTAATTTTACATCTTATAGACACTGAGTTGGGGTGACTCAATTTTCCACAGATTGATTCATCAGCTGCTCTTGGCATTACCATATAAAGGAGATCAATTGAATCATTCTTAATGAGGCTATCCATCAACGGATCACTAATAGATAAATTATAGCATCGGGCTCCCCGTGCCGTTACACCGAGCATGTCCTCATCTCACCAACTCCCCGAGCTTGTCAGAGCTGCTGATGCAGAACACACTCTTTGGCTGATTGCTCCGAGGTGCTAGCCTGAGCGTTTTCTCTTATGACAAAGGAAAAGAAATCAGTCTTCTACTTTGCTTGACATGTCCGAGAAAGCCTTTGTTTACAAAGGAAGACTGGACTTCCTGTACTGGTGCTCCTGAGAGAAAAAGTGAAATGACTTCTTTTGTTTGGCCTCTTGTCAGATCTATACTACAGACTTCCATGATGCAGGGATGAGTGATGCAGATTTTGTTTTGTACCTGTAATTCATTTCTGTACATTAGCAAGAAACAATATTACATTTTTGTCACCTTTTTATTATTTTGGGGCAGATGAGGGCTGACAGTGACATTTATTGTTTGGTGTTTTGCAGAAGGGCTTTTAAATTGTTAAGATACAGACTCTGTCTCGTGTTGTAGAATCAGTATGAGACAGTTAAACGTTGTAAATAAACTGTGGCATTTTGGTCTAACAAAGGTGGTTAGAATTGTTCCCCTAAGTCATGACTCAAAAATATCGGGGACACAAGTAAAACATTAACGTTGAATTCTCAAGGAGCACATAGGTTTACATCTTTTCAAACAGGCACAGAGACATGAAAGTCAGAGGTATATTCAGTGTCCCACTCTGAGACAAAAGAAGGGACCATTAACAAATTGTCAGTCAGTAGTCATTAATAAAATATACATATTCAATTTATTATTTTATGTGTCTATTGATTCAGTGCAGCCTGTTGCTTTACAGTTCTGTTACTGCAGCCTCACACATCCTGAAGTGACTTTGTGATAAGAAAATACTTCTATAGATTATAAAATGTAAATGTAAATAGAAAGTACCGCCATGCCTTTTAATGATAGGAAGTGGTTAGCTATTAAATACAAAAATAAAAAAGAATGGATATTTATACTCTGAAAATTATCACTGCACCAACAGAAATAATACTTTTCAAACAGTTCAATATACTTCTAAATATCAATTCCCCTTTTTAATCTCTTTCTAATAGTGCTTTTCATTGTGCTTAGAATATGTACTTATATTTTAATATATATATATATATATATATTTAACCTCTCTGAGTATTAATTTCACCTATAGCGATTTATGATTTTGTCTTACCTCATATCAAATACACTGCTCTTCATATACAAGTGTTGCATGTGATTGAACCAGTGTCAATTTCAAATCAACATGGGTTCATTTTTGTAACCTGTTGAAGACATGTGGCTTAAAGTAAAAAACAAGTAAAACAAACTACTTGATATTTTGGAAAGATTTGCTTGAAGGAAATTTTCATATTCACCGCAAAGACTTGAAACGGAAGGGTGTCAACAGTAATCTTGACTTGCGTGAGTCGGTGACGTAATCCTGGCTCCTGGACAATGTTGTAACCAACCAGTTGAGTCATTTTCTCCACCTGGGCTAGTAAACAAAAAAGCTGCCTTCATTTGAAATTCATTATAAATGATCTAGTTATTACTGTTTTAAAATATTCTTGTGAAATCACCCCACTGAATTGTGGTCAGCAATTTCCCTCAGACTAAAAGATACTTAAGCACAAGTGATGTTGGCAGTTTTTCAACTGGACCACCATAATGCAGAGTGTTATACAGTTTTAAATATTTACTTCCGCTGTTGTCAGCAGTGTCACAATGCAAAGCATGCTTCATTCTCTGTGCCATCAGACTGACAGACGTTGAATAATGGGGACATGGGGGTTTATGGTATTGTTCTTTAAAACTTGGTAATAATTACTATTCTTTAACCGAAGAAATCGATGAATTGTATTATGTGTTTAATTTGACCTGGAGTCAGTGGCAAACCACAGGGATTGTTGACAACCTGCAGTAAGAATAGATAAGATCATCTGCCAGGGAGGTCATGTTTTTATTGCTGTTTGTTTGGCTGTTAGCAGGATTACGCAGAAACTACTGAACAGATTTGTATTGAGACTTGGTGGAAGAGTGGGATGTGGAACAAGACGGAGGCCCATGACTTTTTGGGCGGATCCAGGAATTAATCACTGTATTTACTATTTTTTTTTTTACCACATTCCCAGAGAATAATTCATAGATCATAATAAAACAGATAAACCACATTTAAGAGAGATATTGAATTGTTTTGAATTAAAGGGTTTGTTGGCAGAGATATGCACTAAGTTTCGGTTATAATATTCTTATTCTGAAATAAGTAATAAATAAGTCTCTTGACTTGTAAGCAGTTTCTCCTGTCAAAGAAATGTGAAGACACATTTGAGTACTATTGATTCGATTTTATTACACGCTGTCCATGTCTGCTTGGAGACAGCTATAAACAGACACGTATGTATATATAGTGCCAACATGTCAGGGCAGGTAAAGTTGGGATGTCTACACTCTTCCACTTGCCCCTCCACCCCCGAAACGAATCCGAAAAAAGCTGCACTTGGGCAACTGTGAGTTGAACTGAGAGCAGAGGAATGCTGTTGTTAGGAAGTCTGCTTGTACAGACGTTCACATGTTATTGTACACCATGTCGAGCCGACTCTAAATGCTTCATGAAAATACTGAACTTCAGGTTGCACCATTAACCTACTGTGACTTTACAGTGTTGCAACATCACTATCCATTGTCGATTCCTGAAATACCAGGATGGCAATGTTGTCTGACTGGTTTTGGCTGAAACCTGGTTGGTTTCTTCTCTGGAGACTGCTACAAGAGGGAAGTTTCATTGTTCTTAAAAAGTAGGGCAGTATTTTTGTCCTCACTTCGAATAACAAAATGTTTGAGGTTTTATTTTCTTTGAGGTTATTTTGTTAGGTGTGAGGGACGAGAGCTGGATGAATCACTGCGTATCACACAAGGAGCTCTGGCTCATTGTTGCTTCTTTGTACTTTTTTCGGTGCTTGAAGTACATCTGCTTTGCCACAGCCTCAGCTTACCACATAGTCACACTTCCAGCTTTGTTATCATTTAGAATGACATAGAAGAATATCCTATAAAAATCCAAATACAGTTTGTGACTGCATGCACTTCTCGGGGTATTCACTAATGTAATAAGCTAGACACAGCATCCTCCGCCTCACTCAGCACAAACATATTCATCCATCAAACCTCTCAGAGTAGTTTGTTCAGCACTGCTTTCATCGGTACACGGTGCACATTCACTGCAAATGTTGTTGGTGTTCATTATATTGTTTTAAAGATGCATGGGCTGCAGGTTTCATAAATTGAACTGCATCTTCAGTGTTTTGTTATTTCTTCCTCCACTGCTCAACCCGTGTTAAGAATTAGGTCAGGCTGTTGCTCTGTTGTCATCTTGCTTATTTTAGAATGACAATGTCAGGCAAAGTAAGTTGCTGAACAACTTCAACCCAAACCCCACTGTAAGTTCTAAAGCTGCATCCATGGTAATGCGTTTTTAAAACTAAAACGATCTCCATCCATATAAACATCAGTAAAAATCCCTGTCCATAGTACAAAGAGTTAATTTACAGTGGGCATGTGCGTATAGCGTTTCCAAACATCTCTGTTTTAGATGCTCAAAAATTCGAGTGGTGTGGATAGCAGGTGAAAATGTAGCTTGTGAGGATGTAGCCTAAGTAAAATCACCTTAATGCCTGACAACTGCCATGCAGAAAAACTGAGATGAATAATTTTCATATAGCCTCTCATGACTTGTGACGGCTGTTTGTTATTGTTTTTGATGTATTTGAGATTAAATAATGAATCTAAAAATGTGGTGTAATAGGGGATTGTAGGCACTGTGGGTTTACTGATCAATATCGAGAACTGGCATAGACAGCGCTTTGTATTTATCAATACTGAGAGATTGGGAAGACTGTTGTCGGTAGTGACAGCAGATCTTTACAGCAGGTGATGTCAGTGGTTTATTTCTCCTGAGCACCAGTAATTGGAAGCGACTGAAGTCAAGCTGCACCTAACAGCACTTTCACTGTCGATCGAGTGTTGCTGCCGTGTTGTATTTTTCTACTCTGTATTCCTAATGTACATTTTGCAAGTATTATTGTCCATATTTTTGAAGAAATTGAAATGAATCTGTCTGAATGCTAATGTGCGACCTTGACACACTTGACACACCTCCAGTGCAAAGGGTGTTTTGCAAAAGTTAATGTATAAGCTTTGTGGACGTGTATTGAAAAGTGACATCTAACCCAGAACACTGAAAGTAAGCTGTACTGTAAGAAGCGGAATATATTTCTGTTATTGCAAAACAACTTCCTCATTCTTGTATGAAAACATTCAGTGAAAAGAGCAATTAAACCGAAAAAAAGTAAGAAAACTATGAAGGGTTACCAGAAAAAGCAGCAATCTGAAAATCATCTCTATTAATGTTTATTTATTCTAATTTCTTTCTTCCTCTAACACAGCCTGGATAAAGCTTCACGATGGGCGACCTTCTTAAAGTGACCATTGACTGCAGCTGATTATCTTCGATAGCATCAGGACTAACATTTGGAAACAGTTTTCACCATCCCTACTGAAGCTGTTGCAAAGCTTTGTGCAAAACCATCAAGACGACAGGATGAGTGAGGTGTGTTCCTGCGTGGTCAAAACACATCTCATCAAAAGTATCAGACCGCCTATCATCAGAGGTTTCCCAAAACAAAGACTTGGATTGTAATTATATTTTTACTGACTTTTATTTTGTATTTTTTTGCACGGGAATGACCTTTAAATTGCAGATTGAGTAAAAGAATCTTCTACATGAGCCGCAGCGATGGACTAGAAGCCCATGTGTAGCAGGACAGCTGTTGCAGCTCGTGGAATAACGTAGCCCCAGACTGTTGGGGACTCACTTCCTCAGGGGGGCCCAAGGGATCTGATCCCAGCCCCAACCTGCCCTGTCATCTGACCATCCCACCTGTCTGAAGGCAGACCCCACTATCCAATGGCATGGGTCAAGTTCTTCAGGAAGCCGGGGGGCAATCTGGGGAAATCGTACCAGCCGGGGAGCATGCTGTCTCTGGCCCCAACCAAAGGACTTCTGAACGAGCCGGGCCAGAACAGCTGCTTCCTCAACAGTGCTGTGCAGGTAGGTCTGCCCTGTAAATTATTTTAATAATTATTCATTATATTAAAAATAATAAGCTTGTTTTGTATAGCATTTTTTCCTTTACAAAAAGATAGAACAAGATTTAAACTCAATAGAAATTAAATAAAATTGCCAAAGCACCAATTGGACTCTGAGAGCAACAAGAAAACCATTATTTACTGATCTAAGATGGCTCGCAAACTCTTAGGGAGTTGGTAAATCCTTTATATGCATAGGGGCTTGTTTGTGTAAAGTTTAAAAAGAATCAGACGATCGATAAAATCTTAAAATCAATGCAAAAACACAAAGGTAGTGAGGCCAGAATCTGTTATATGGCCCTGTCTTCATGAGCCAGTGATCATTTAATGTATCACTTTGAATATAATCTTGAACAAATATACTTTCTTTGCTGTAAAATATTCATGAAAAATGTAGGAATTATTGCATAAAGTATCATTTTAAATTGTTTAATATTTTAAGTTGCTCCAAACTTACTTTACAGCTCGTATGATTGTAATTATTGACTTGTTGCTCCCTTCCTTTTAAGAGCAGTGCACATTCAACCCTCAAAGATTCGACCATCATTTATTCAGCAGACCGCTCAAAGCTTAGTCGCTGTCTAAATTTGTCCGAGCTTCCCAGCAGTTTATTGATGCACTCGAAGGTTTCTTTTGACTAGTGGGATACTGGCTGGTGAGTTAGTTCATCACTGCAGTCAGCCACACAGTGAGGTCACTCTCTGAGACTGTGTGACTCAGAGGGTGGGACGACTGATGATGAGCTGGATGAAGATGATACCTTCGGCTTTGTTTCTGGGAGCGAGTTGTTCCTGTCGCCCAGTACTCATCCTCATGACCTTGTAGATGTTCCCCCAATGTCCAAATGCCTTACATAAGAAATACTGCCTCATCCGTTTGTTTAAAAAAACACTTCTGTACTTATTCTTTGTTATTTTTTAAAGGGCATGTTTAAAAAAAGATGAGCCTTGGAGTTTCTCATGTTTTGATGCCTTTGTTTGCTTAAGTATTCGGAAGAAATGCTCCAATACAAAGGTATAAATTAAAATATTTTCGTGTAAAAACTCCTGACGCCCTCCTCTTTCCTTTGTACAGGTACTATGGCAGCTGGACATCTTCAGACGCAGTTTGAGGCAGCTTCCTGGACACTTCTGTTTAGGAGAGTCGTGCATCTTTTGTGCTTTAAAGGTAGGGTGAAGTCAGAACGTTTAACACTGAGAAGACACCGTAGATTCTGTTCGTTTTACAGATGCTGCAACTTGTTTAGTCACATATTGAGACCACTGTGTGTTTAGCAGTGAGGGTGACACAAATGCTTTTTAACAAAAACTATGTCCCAGAGTCCTTGTGCAAACTAGTCCTTGCTCTCTTCTTCAGGGCATTTTCTCCCAGTTCCAGCACAGCCGGGAGCGAGCCCTGCCCTCTGACAACCTGCGTAACGCCTTGGCAGAGACCTTTAAGGACGAGCAGCGCTTCCAGCTGGGCTTCATGGATGATGCCGCAGAGTGCTTTGTAAGTTCCTGTGGCAACCCGGCTTCTCCTGGGGGGAGGGAGACGAGTGTATGGAGAAGGGATGTGTGTATGTTTATGCGGAGCACTGCCACACAGTTTCGGGTAATGCACTGCAACAAACTGTTTGGCGAGGTCACTGAAAGAGCTTCTGTCCCTCCCTTCCCCTCCCATCAACCCCTGCCACATTGCCTCTAAATATTATCATGACAGGTTATATAAGGGCCAAAGACGCTGTGTTTGAATCTCCCCCTTTTTTTGGCACGATATTATGTCCCATCATTTCTGTGCTTTTTTACAAGTCGATTTCATGCGTCCTTCATCATTTTTACATGTCGGTTCCAGTTTTTCTTCTCTTTTTTTTTTTTTT